CCATTGATTGCTCCAGCTTTATTCCGAGATAAAACACTTGTTCTTACATGGGATATAGAAACACATAGTAGCTGTGGAATGGGTGATCTACCTATAGCGAAAAATGAAGAGGATTGGGTTTTTATGATTTGTATGACTATACATTGGAAAGATGATCCCATTTCATTGATGCAAATATGCTTAGTTGATGTGGAGACGAAACCAGATCCTAGGTGGATCACAGTGATATGTGGAAATCAAACCAATTTACTTAAGGCATTTGCATTATGTTGGAAATATTTAGCTCCTGATATACAGATAGGTTTTAATGATTCGCAATATGATTGGCCTTTTGTTGTAGAAAAAGCTAAGAATTTAGGAATTCTTGAATGGATGTTTAATCACATGTCACCGGAGTCATTAAGTATTGAAAAAATTACAAAATGGCAATATCAATATAATGTGATAAAAATAAACGATGCAAATTTCCATTTGAAACATCTCAATATCCCTGGATGTGTGGCTATTGACGTCTGCCCCTGTTTTAAAAAATTATATTCTAAAGCTGAGAAAAGTAGTCTTAGATTTTATTTAGAAAAGTGTAAACTCAACAACAAAGTGGATTTACCTATTCACCGTATAAATAAATATTATGAAAAAGCATTAAAAGAAACAAATAATACAACGGCTGAGCAGATGCGTGAAGTGGCTGAATACTGCATTAACGATGCCCTTAGCTGTCAGTGGTTAATGGTCAAGCATAATGTAATCAATGAATATAGAGAGAAAGTTTCTATATCATTTCTATCTTTATTTGATGCACATTATTTTGCTGATGGAATGAAGGTAAAAAATCTTTTAGCTATTCGGGCATGGGGGCTAGGATTTTTAAATACCATGTTTCCACAAAAGCAAACAGAAAGTGGTAAATACCCTGGGGCATATGTATTTCCACCAGAAAAGGGACTTGAAAATAAACGCCCTGTAACCGGTCTTGATTATGCATCACTATATCCAAGTCTTATTATGACATATAACCTCTCTCCCAATAAAATTATTTTATCCCATGAGCATGCAATATCTGTAGCACGTAGTGGTAAGAAGCTCCATATGATTGAATTCGAGTTCAATGGTCGTGATATTATTGCATGGTCAGTAAAACATGAAAATCAATCAGAAATGGAAGGACTTTATGTAATAGTATTGAAAGAACTACTTATGAAGCGAAATAAGATGAAGAAATGTCTTGCCCCATTAAGCGAAAAAAAGGAAAATATGGAATTAATATTGAGTAACATAGAAGGTGAGCGAACGATACTGGAAGCTATTGAACATGTCTTGGAAAATGCAGAAAAGAAAAATCGCGATAAACTTATTAAAAAATTACATCCGTTTATTAATAAAAATAACCATGAATTTATGGTAGAATATAATTCCATCTGCTTCGATCATGCTTGTTTAAATGCAAAGCAGACTGCTTTAAAAGTTTATATGAACACATTCTACAGTGAAGCCAGAAATAATGAATCACCTTTCTTTTCGCTTCAACTTGCTGGAGGAGTTACATCAGCTGGTCAATGGAACATTAAGCTTGTAGCAGATTTTGTTAAAAATAAAGGCTTCAAAATAAAATATGGAGATACGGATTCTTTATATTTAGTTTGTCCAGAAGAGTATTTCCAAGAATGTGATACAGCTTATGATAATGGAAATGGAATCACAAAAGAAAAATACTGGAATGAAATGGTAAAAATTTCTATGAGAGTAATGGGGGGGCTTTGTGATGAGGTAAATGAATTTCTTAAAAAAGATAACAGAGCTACTTATCTAAAAATGGCCTATGAAGAGGTTTTATTCCCAGTAGTATTTACAGGTAAGAAAAAATATTACGGTATTCAACATATAGAAGAACCTAACTTCGATCCAAATCCAGATAAGCTTTTTATTAGAGGTGTAGATATTGTGAAACGGGGGCAGTCTAAGCTCTTTCGCAAAATAGGTAAGGAGATTATGCAAGAATCTACGGAAATCGATAATAATAGAACATTATACCAGATTGTTGAAGAGATCCTTAAAAATGCGGTGAAAAATTCATCTCAGATAGATATTAATGAATGTATTCGAACTTATGCATGGAAACCCGATAAAGATAATAAGTCTGTTAAATGTTTCATCTCTCAAATGAAATCTAATCATGCTCGTGAGGTTGAGGAATCTAAACAGCTTATAAAAAAGGAATTAACACCTGATCCATATCTTTATAATATCCCAGAACCTGGTGAGCGCTTTGAGTGTATAGTGGTAGAAAGGGAAGATCAATATGATGAGTATGGGAAGAAAATATTATGGAAAGTAGGGGATTGTATGGAATACCCAGATGTGGCAAAAAAACTTAACAAAAAGATAGATGTCAATTATTACCTAAAGAGTGTAGTTGGTCTTTGTGCCAGATTTATAAATAGTGATAAATATTTTGAACCACCTACTGATGATTAGTGTTCCATGTCGCAATCCAAAAAAGGAAACAAAATGGCCATAAAGGTGGTTGCAACCAGTGGTTGCAATCATTTTTATATGATGCAAAGGTGGTAGCAACCATCATCAAAAGTTGCAGCCGGTATCCTTACTGATGATAAATCTTTAATAAATATTACCGCTCCTGATGAACTCTGAACAAAAAAGGATGAATTAGAGCAGAAATCAGCAGAGAGGTGGATTAAAAATTATATCAAAGATTTACGTGATGCACCGAAAAAAGATGAAGCTATTATCTCTCATTTATGGAAAAATGCTACTACACATGCTGAAAAAATATGTTCTAGTATTAGCAAAGTTGGCATAACCAGGCCTTCAGGTGCCTCTACTTGGTATAATGGCTATCTTAATGCATTAGATAAAATTGCAGACTCCATTCGTTTGAAATTATCAGATCTACTTTTAGAATTGTCTAAGCTTAATGTAGAATATAGAAATGGGTTATATAAATTAATTATGAAGTCACAAAAATGCAAGACTGATATTACGATTTTGGAAGAGTATATACTTCGATATAACCTGGAAACAGAATGTGAAGCATTAACAGAATTCCAAAATACATGGTACAAAGCAATTGGTCTTGAGATTGCACGTGTTCAAGCGGTGTCAATCATGCAGAGTAGTAAAAAAGATGACTCATCCGAAGCGGATGTTGATGAGATTATCGACCTATATTGTTAAGTAATCTTAGTTAGAATTGCCACACCCTACTAAGATACTTATATATTATTAATAATATTTTTTCGTACATAAAAAATACCCGAGTTCAAATAGATAGTCTCAGTTATCCGATCCACATATCCAGTAACCGATCATGTTTTTTACTTATATTCCATGTGCATCTCAATACCACGAACCACATAACTGCGATAATTAATAGAATAAGAAAAATATATGCCGATAGAGGTGACATCAACGTGCTTGTCATAACAGGGAGAGACAGAGCCTCAAGACTAGGTCTCATTGCTCCTATTGGGATTTGAGGCATAGCCTCTGATACATTAGGTTTTATTGGCATATTATCCTCACTAATTTCGCTAATGCTAGTTTCATTGCTTACCTTGGGGTTGATCTTGGTATCATTTTTTGGTAGTTCAGTAATCTCACCATCGATTTTTTCTATTGGATCCATATTTTCCATGTATAAAATATTTACTGAGATCAGTACTACCCAAAGATATATTATCAGACTTAGTAATATTTTTTTTGTCATTCCCACCAACTATGGGTTTCGATTAAGGTTGTGGGCGAAACCTCTTAATGACTGTCGAAACTCTGTCGAAACTCTAATGAACAATTAATGTGTAACCTGTCGAAACTCTGATGATTGGCGAAAACCCCAAATGCGAAACTCTGCCGAAACTCTAATAAACAATTAATGTGTAACCTGTCGAAACTCTGTCGATTGATTTCTGGAGGAGTTTCTCCCGCAACCTTAGTTTCGATATAGCCTCCGATTTCAGACACTCAAGCTTATTGACCTTCGATTCCAATTTACTCTTTATATTTTTTAATTCAGCTATTTTGGATTTAAGGGTTAATATCTCGGATTCTTTTTTTGATGAGTCATTTTGTATCGAAATCACATCTTTCTGGGCCAAAGACAACCTACCTTCCAATATCTTAATCATAGACTCAAGCGATCTAATTTTCTTAGATTTTGTAATATTCTCAGCCTTGGACTCAGCAAGAGAAATATCCTTTTGTGCATTATGAGAAATAAGATTAGTATTTTCATTTTGTAGTTGCTTACGTTCATTAATAACCTGCAAAGCGTGGGTGCGTAGCTTTTGAATCTCAGTATTATTTCGTAATGAATCTCAATTCCACCCCTTTCTTTCTCGATCAAAAGCCTTCACTCACTTTATATATTTATCCTGAAATTTCTCACTAAGATTATTAATTTCAGCTTTGGATTTGATAGCATCGTGTATTTTTTTTTCCAGCTCTTCTTCACGTATACTACCAAGTCGATGGCCTTTAATATTTTGCAATGTATGTATATTAGCCATATTAAATAGGAAAATCCTATATACAGGACCTTCCTAATTTGGAAGTGGCACCTATGATCTGCGTGAACCCTTGCTAATTCATGTGCGTGATGAAT